GGGAATTTAGAGGGTGTCTACCTTTCATAGTGATTATATATGAATACTGGGCATTTAAGTATTTTTTGTTGTTTTTCACATTGAGGAATGTTCCAATTAAGCTATAATTTTCAACAAAACTAATTTGTAGATTATTTATTGTCTAGAAAATAATTTGAAATTGGTAATATTGTGCCATGGATAGACTTGAAGCTAGCATAATAGTCCAGCAAGAGATGATGAGGAGGACCTGAGGAGAAGGAAGAAAGAAGGGAAATTATGAAGTAAAATCCACTGGATTTTGTGATTTTTGTAAGTGGAAGGAGCCTCCACTGAAATAAGACTTCCAGCTTTGGTCATTGGATGGTGATGTCTAGTGGTAAGTTATAGACACTGGAGAAAGTAGTACTGGTTGAATAATCAGAGACAGGAAAAATGTTTAATTAAGATGGAGATAGCTATGGAAGATCATGGAAGTTCTAAGGGGACATTTTTATATAGACATCTGAAGCTTTAGGGGAAGATTGATGCTAGAGACACATGTTTGGGATTATCCGCATATCTATAGTAACTGAGGCCATGGAAGTAAATAAGGTCATTCAGGGAAAATTTGTCAAGTGCAGAGAGAAGACAACACCAGAAGAAAACATTTGCCTTATTTTTATTTGTTTGTTGTTTGCTGATACACTATAAAAGCAGTAGTGTCTTCAAATAGCTTTAGTACATCATAAGATACTTAATATAAATCTTCTAGGAGGGAGAAGACTCTATTAAAAAAATTATATTAAAAAAAAAATTCTTGGCAAGCCCCAAAGACTGTGGAATGGGAAATAAACCAGAAAGCCTTCCTCTGACTTCACTGCACGGACTGGCTCATGGGATAGAGAAGGCCTCAAGTTTTCCCCTTTTCAGCCTCACTGCCCCCTGGTAAATTATTATCCAAGTATTTCATGTCTGTTTGGAATCAAGTGATGAAGAAAGGAGTCCTTTTCCTGGAAATACTGATTTTGTGATTATGACATTCTTTTTTTGATTGTTTAATTTCGGGACTGAGGTGTATTGAAAGAGAGGTGTGAGAGTTGTTCTAATATAAAAATGCAACCACTGACAAACACAACACAGTGACCCATTCTCTGGAAAGACTTAAGTAGCAAAAGATCCTCATATATACAGTATTTTAGTTGACTGCTACAAATTCATCTATTTTTTGACGTTATTAATTTCACTGAATTAGAAAGGAGCAAGTCAGTGTTGCCAGTTCCTTGTCAATTTCTTAGTCAAAGCAGCAAAATGGGAATTATCATTCCTGAACCCTTATCTTAGGTTCAGCAATTTTCTCCTTAGAGTTAGAGAGATTGCTCAAATCCCCAACCAATTTTACCACCTACAAAATAGGATGCATTGGAATTTGAAATAATAATTAGATATGCATGGAACACAAAATTTAATTTATAACTATGTTCAGCCAAAAGAACTTTGGCAATTTTTGGGACCTAAACCCTAATAAAATGCACTTGCTCCGTGACTCTTACGGTGTTATTCCCTGTATGAATTGTGTTTGCAGTTATATTGAGTGCCTATAGAACATCCTAGTGCATATATCTAGTGGGGAATTGACTAGAACTAGGTCTGAAGCCCACAGACAGGTATGATCTGGAGATAAATTCTTGGGAGAAATCACCTATGGATGATAGTTAAAATCATGACATAAGCCACTGTGACCTATGGAGTGTATATATTTGAGAAAGCACTGGTTTGAGCATATAGCCCTAGGCAAAACCAGCTTTTGAGGCTCAAATAAGGAAAGGGCCCAGAAGACAACCAAGTCATTCCTGGTTAGCTATTCTGTATCTGAGAAGTAAAAGAAGAAAAATTAAAAGGAGAGTAGTCAGCAGAGTCCAATGCAGCAGAGAGAGGTATTGAGATAAGTCCTGAAGAGTCTCCATCGTTTGATGCTTAATGGCTGGTCTGCTCAGAGAAGTGTCGGAAGCACTGTCCTGTGGTTTATTTGTGTCCTTGGCAGAGGATAGGACCAGGCTCAGGGTGGATCGCCATCTTCTAGAGATAGGAAAAGGAATTCTTTTATTGGTAAGAGGTTAGCTATGAAGCGATAAGGCCAGCCCCACTTTGAATCATTGCCAATAGGGCTTGGATAGTAGGATTATCCCCTCTACGCTAGAGTCTTTCATTATTTAGAAATGACAACACCTTAGAGCTGGATACACTGAATTGTTACGCAAGCCATTTTTGGTGCCCATAGGAACTTGATGGGCACACACTCAGCCAAAGCAGCAACATGAAAATACCATGTACTCATTTGGTTAGCATTTCACTTTGCTTTTTGACTTTAAATTCAAACTAAACTTCAATATAAGAAGTTTTGATAATAACCCATGAACTTTATCTTTTTTAAAAGGTAGTGTAGCTCTCTTCGTGTGGTGTAACCATAGCAACTGACAAGGAACAGAGAAAGAAAGCTTTCACACATGCTGTGCTAATTAATCCTGTCCTACAGTTTTCCTTCAGCTGCAGGATGCAGTTTAATAAATTTTGCATGAGTAAGCATGTTTGGATGCATGAACTGTATGAACACATAGCAATATCTTTATCAAAAATATTTGGGAAAAATGTAGGTATATATTTATGCTTCAAGATCTTTCTTTTTAAAAATTTTTTTTTTGAACTCTTGTTTTAATAATTTGTTTCCTCCCCGAAAAGTTTTGGGCTTTTTTAATGTTATTTACCAAACAGAAACATTTTTAGAGTGAAGACCTTTTGTTCATCAATATACAGGACACTTCCCAGAAGAAACGGTTTCAATTGACTTAACTGTATTAAAGTATGGTGTATCAAGTGCTGCAGAAGAATGTATCTTAAAAATATAATAACATTCTTCATTCTATATGATACATTTACATGCAAACCATTTTAAGAAATTCAGTCTTAAGGCTTTGAAAAGTTAGATGTTGAAAACTTATCTTCACTGTTGTTTTGGGGAGTTATATGGCCCATCTGAATGACACTGGGGCAGTCTTTGACCTAAACATGTAGAAAAATAATGTAGATGAAGAGCTTTTTCTACTTATATTTTCCACAAATATTTAACCAGATTAACAATCTTATATTCAGAGTGAATAGAATTGAGCTGATGTTTTATGTAGAGTTATTTTGATTTATACTGTTTCTAGGTTATTTCAAGGTCTTGTTCTTCCTTTACAACTGAGGATATCACAGTTTTTTATAACTAGCCTGGTCTGAGCTGTCAAAGAAAATCTCAGATTTTTTCATTCTCCCATCTCCCTGGCCTAGCTTCTGACAATAGGGCCTGGGGAAAACCAAGGAAATCAAGCCTGAATGTTTTTATCGTCCCACTTGACTTGACAACAGCATATGGAAGGAGTCAGAACCTATTTCAGGACTTATGATTAGCTCTTTGGTCTCCGTATGGAAGCATCGTCATCTGAGGAACCAAATCTTTTGATGGGATTACCAAATTCTGGACACAGTATCATCCTGATACTGATGTCCTATCTATTGTTCAGTTTTGCCTGAATTGAGGTAGGATAAACCTTGCAGAAAAAAGAAGAGGTTATTATGGAAATCTGTTATCAAAAATAGTTACTCTGTTCACATGCAGAAAAATCGGGGACTATGAATGTGTAAGTATGTTAATATGTTGGTGTGTGTATAATCTGTACATTTTAATATGGAGAATTTACAAATGCCAACCAATTTATAATATACCATTGCATTATTATAAAAACTGCGTTGTAGAAAAAACTTGAGTGACTGTTAGCATAGCTGAATTATTTGGAAATTCTTTGTCTGATCAGCTGTCCTATTAATTTTAAAACTTACAGTATAGAAAATAAAATGCTGTGTTAATAAACAAGAAAAAGTTATCTTTTTAAGTACTATGTAAAAAATTTTAAATAATCAGAACATTAAAATGATTATGTTACGGTAGTTTCGCTGTAAAAATCTTTCATGTGCTTTAAGCATCAAAATGGTAAATAATACTCTATAGTTGCCACTAATGAATATTGCCAGATAGAAAGCTATCACATAGGGGTTTCCTTTTCTTTTAAGAAAATGACATCTATAAATTTTTGTGATTTTATAAAAAAAATTATATACTTATTGCACAAAACTTGGAAAAATCAGAAAAAATATACTAAATGAAAAAAATTGGGTAATCCCATATTGAAGTATATTTTCTGCCAGTCTTTTTTCTATACATGAGTATTTATGCTTATGAGGTCAAACCCCATGCACTTTTTCACTTAACATATTATTGTTACCATTTTATCAGTTTTTAAAAATTCTTAGAAGAGATTTTAACATATTATATATACTGTTTCATCATCTGGATTACCAAATTTATATGACTATTCCTTTATAATTATTAGATAGATGGTTTTCAAATGAGCTTCTCCAATAAGCATTTCATAATGAGTGTTTGACAGAACACTAAAATCATAGGAAGTTTTGGGAAAACACTTGGAGAAAAGTGTTATACCCTCATCTTGCATATTCATAAAGCACATGAGAAAAATTAAGGTCACTGAGAAGTCTTATAATTAGGAGACTGTTTAACATTTGAAATTCATTTTTTCTCAAAGTTATTTGACCAAGAAACCGTTTTTCATAACACATAAAATTACACCTCTCAAAACTAGAGTTTCATGAAACGTACTTTGGAAAATCCAATAGATTTCTAAGTTTCCATGTTTTGTATCTAGTAAGTTATGAATCATTTGTTTACTCTGCTCATATTTTCATAGACTCATGATGCCAGTGCTTTATTAGGAAAAATAAATGATTTAATGGTTATTGGCATGTATTCAAAACAGAGAGACCACAATATGCTTTCCCCAACCTTTCTATTAACCTTGATATTGCATTTATGATTCTGTATTACAGTATCATGTTTGACCTTTTTAAATTGTGAACTTTCAAATTCAAATTTCCTTGTCCTATTAATGCCCGTTAAACTTCTTTATGTTTCATGTAACCCACAGGTCTTGCAAGAGCAAAATCCGTCCCTAGCCACACATACTCCAACGAAGTGGTTACCTTGTGGTACAGACCTCCAGATGTCCTCCTAGGCTCGACAGAATATTCCACCTGCCTTGACATGTGGTGAGAAATGGAAGCTTGATTCTGGCTAATCTCTCTGTAGTGCTTGGTCTGGGTCAAGCCTAGACAAATATCCTAACAGTCTGAATGAAGATTAATGGTGCAGGGTGTTTGCCTGTGTGTGGCAATACCGCCAGATTTTTTAAAACATGATTGGGAATGTTCCCTAATCAGAGTGTCCCTTGCAGATGGTGTCTAGTAATGGTTCTTGATGGACAGGGGCAGAGACATTTATCTAACTGTCAGTACTATAATTTTTCTCCCTAAGGGTCTTAATTTGTGGGTTTATTTTATAACAAGGAAGTGTGTATCTCCAAACAGCAAAAGAGTTGGCAGTAGCAGGAAGCATGTCTAAATTCATGGCAAAGCTCAGATAAGTGGCCTAAAAATTTGGTGTAACTGTTGGGCACTCAGTTGACTCACAGTATTCCTGAAAACTATTGATACCAATCATTCAAAATGAAATAAAATGATTACTTTTAAAAAATATTATAAATTTAGTTTCAGTAGAGACTTAATGTCACACAATGGTTTAGCAAAGCTTAAAAATCTATTTTATGAAGTTCAATGACTAGCAAGATGTAATAAATAGTTATTACTAATGGTAAACTATGCTGAGTTATGTGATCTATACCAAATAATCAAATAAAGTGAATCTTATTTTTAGTATGCAGGGCAGGTTTACTAGTGACTGTTGAACATGTCTTTTATTAATAGAAAAATCTCTTTTTTAGATTCACAGTTGTGTTCAAAGTAAAACAATTCACATAGCACATGACTATTTTATAGCAGGAATCATCTTCCATAAATGATTATAACCTCATATATAGAATTCAGCTACTTGTTCATATAATATTTATGACCTCAGTAAAACTTCATCATGTGTTGCTTATCTTGCTGTTGGTGTACTTAAGTTACTGTTCTACCCCCAGTAATCTTGGCTCTTTGTAAATTAGGCTGTGATAAGGCCTGGCTTCTTCCCTGATGTTTTTGATCCAATAACTTTATGGTGAGAAAACAATAAAGTTTCTTACAATGAAGGGCACAGTGTAGACTTTCTTAGTTTAGGTTCCAGCAAACTCCCCCTCCCCAGGAATAGGATTTTACAATTTATAAAGCCACTGAAAATATATGTTTTGTGTATATGAGAATATACCTATTTTTATGTATATCTGTAACTTTCTTTAGAGCTATAGAAGAGTCAACATTATCATACAGCGTAAGATCTGTTCTCATAAATTTTGTAGTATCTTATAATAAATCTAATACCATTTTAATGATATTCTAAACACTGAGAATAAAGATGTTCATCTATCATTGAGTGGCTGAGCTAATCTATTTTTCAAATCACACTTCCTAGGTTTTGTTTTTTTTTTTCCTTTTTCTTTTTTGGGGGACTGTTGGTTGTTTACACAGATTTTTTTCCCCAAGGCTAGGCAGGAGCTTAGACAAAATAGGTATTTGAAGAATTAGTTGTAATGGAGGAAAAGGTTGAAAATAAAGGCCAAGGAATTCATTAGGATATCAGTTACTAACTTTCTCCTTCCTTCCCTACTTCCTGCCTTATAATTGAGAGTTGGCTGTGCAAATAATCATTACTTAATATTCTTGACTTATGACATGTTTTTTTCTATTTTCTGAGTATGGAAATTCTAGCTTGTCTTTCAATGAGGTCAGTTAAGAACTCTGCTAATAAACCATGGTTTGAAAACATTTGTAGCTTGGAGCCAGTTTTGTCTTAGTTGCTTGGTAGTTCAAGGCTGTATAGCCTTAGACAGGAGAAGCTGTTTTTTATATACTAGTGGCTAATTTTTCCCAGACCTTTAGAAGTGCTCTTTCAAATACTGTACAAAGAACCATATGGACTGTGACTTGCTAACATGTCTGTTTCTAAGGTGTAGAACATACAGTGTTTGATTTCTAGTCTGTGCCTCTTTCCTCATGTGTGTGTGTGTGTTTGTGTATTCATTCTCTCAAGGAAGACAGCTTGGGCACTTTTCCCAATTTGCTTTGAACTGAGACATAATGGAAGCATAAGAAGACTGTTATTTAAGTGGAAGGGAGGAAAACTGATAGAAAATGGTAGACCCTAAATGCCCTTTTGTCTACATGCCAAGATTATTCATTGCCAAAAACAAATCACAAATGTGTTATGTCTGAGCAGCTTCCCATGGTTATAGGCTCTTCACTTCTAAGCTCTAGAATCTAAGTTATGGCTATGCTATGCCTGTCATTCTCAATGTGATTTCATTCCAAGTCATTTTCTAAAAGCTATTTTGTTATTATCCTATAAGTCAGGTAAAATGTATGTGTTTTTCCAGTTAGAGAGAAGTTCGCAGGCACTGATTTCTGTATAATCAATGACATCGATGCTGGCTATTCAGAGACCTAGAAATGGGACTATAATTGAGTCATGGCTCAGCTGCACCAAAGAGAAGTGCAAATATTAACCCATGGACAATAGCAGGGAGGCAGGTGGCAGTAGTTTCAGGCTATTTTTACAGTTCATTTACCATCGTGGGGCAATAGAGTAGTAACTAAAAACTAACGATCCCTACACAGTGTTACATTTTCCAGTTTTCTGTTTAAGTAGCCACAGGCAATAAAAATATTAATGAAGACACATTTGCATTAACAATGTCAGCACGTGATGGAAATCAGAGCTGGCCGCGTTATGATTTACTCCTCCAGGTCTCCAGCACCGTGACAGTGAGTGAATACACTGCACTGTTTGAGAACTCATTAAGAAAGACAGTTTTTGATACCTTTGTCTCCACCCATAAAGGAGATATTAAGCAGAGGGATCAAATTGAAATTTGCCTCTGTATAACTTCTCTTAATTTTTACATTTTATAACTTTTTTTCAGTCAAGGCATAGGAAATCATTGCTAAGCTTCTAAATGAAAAAAAGCTTACCAGGTTCTAAAAACCACATTAAGAGAAGTGCAAATGTAAAAAGCAGCTTATCTGTGTTTTTTTCCCTTGCCAGGGAGCTCTGCTCTAGCTGTTGAGGTCATTGCTTGAAATAAGTTTTATATTCCTTTATAGACGCTCATAAATATGTTTAGGGCTGCATTTGTTTTTTAAGTAGAAAAGTAGAAGGTCATTTGGGATTAATTTTTAATACAGGATGACTAAATTATCTGTAGCTAATAAAGGATTATTTCGTCAAGATTGCAGTGCTTTTGGAGGGCCAGAATATTAATATATAGTAGCACTACCCTGAGGTATCAACTACAGTGCTCCCCAACACAGTATATGAAGAACGATAGTATGTCTGTCTCTTCCTTTCATCATCTTTTTAAAAGCTAATTAACATATTAACTATGCTTGTCAAAATGTGGGGCAAATCATTTATAAATAAGCCTGTCAAATGTAATGAGATTGCATATTAAATCATCCATTTCTCTGTTACATCTCTGATTTAAGATTAAAATTAATTTAGTTAACATTATAGCAGCTGGGTGGTTAGAAAAAAATTTCCATACCAGTTTTGATGTATAGAAAAATGTCTGCATCAAAGTTGATTTTGCATATATTAGAAAGGAAATTGCCTGTTTATTAAGTATTATCAGGTCATTTAGCATTGCTTTTATTAAGTAAGCCTAATCGCCGTATATATTGGCAATATACAAAGTTCTGCCATCATCTTTAATGATCTCTCTTGAACCAAGGACATTTATGTAATAAAATAATGTTTCCTAGAATTCAGGTTTATTTACCAGTGTTTTAACAGAGAGAATCATAAATGAAGCCTACTATAGCCCCTACCCTGAAAATAAATTTATTCCACATGAGGTCCTATAGTTTAATCTGAGACTTGAGTACTAATAACAGTAACAATAATAGGTACTTTTATTGAACACAAACTATATTCTAAGCCCTGTTAATGCATTTTAGTTACTTGCCTATTGTACCTTGACACAGTGAAAGAAACAAAAAACCCAGAAAGTCTAAATAGTTAAGGTCATACAGTAACTGAGTAGAGCCAATATTCAAACTCAAGGATAACCTTTTCAAAGCCCTTTTTCTTTAAAACGTATTACATAACCTCTTAAGATGATTTATATGCAATTGGTCTTTATTTTACTACTAAAGTGACTCAACATCATAAATACAATAAAATTCCTATTTTATAATTTAGGTTATACTCTAAGTCTTATGTCCTTTGCAAAGTTCATATATAGTGGGTGGCTTTTACTCTTACCCAACAGCCTGTGGATGGCCTCTTCTGACATCGATGTGCTAACAGATTCTACTCTATAGTTTTGTTCAAGGAAGAGTTTTTAAAAAATTAACTAAGACATGAGTCATTGGATTGAATACATTTTCATGGGACTAGTATCTATGCTGACATATTTTTCCAATTTCTAGTCATTACTCATTTACCACTTCTGCTAAAATGGATGAGTCCATTTAAAAGGAATGGTAATAAAAATGAGAATTTGAGTTCATGAGCTTCATCAAGTCATCTATCTGTCAGTACTATTTGCACATTTTCTAATTAATCAGGTCGTAAGACCAAGGAGGATGTGAATTAGTTACTGTCAAATGTAACAACTCTTTAAGAGCTCTTGAGAGTTGCTCAAATAATGCATGATCCAAGGGACTTGGTGTAGTCACTGATGATGCAACGGAACATAACAGAAGAACCAGGGACAGTCAGGAAAGCATCCAGGTCATTGAAAGCTGAACTCATAGTGGCAGCCCACTCCCACTACTGAAGTCCTTTAAAATTAGGATGACCATATAGTTTATCATCATATCAGTACGCCTTTGAGAATTAATAATGATTCTGCCAGGATAATAGGTGTACAAGAGAGATAGAACAGTGACATGCGGTCACCTTTCTCATAATGCACTAGAGCAATAATTTGCTAAATACTACTAGTCAGAAGAGACTTAGTACATTTGACTGTTTAATTTACACCTAAGGATTGCTGACCGCAAACTCAAAGTCCTAGCAAAAAATGTATGTTACATTACCTAATCATGAATTATCT